TTGTTCACGATACGTCCGCGGACAAGCTCTCCGCGCGCGCTATTCCCTTCGTCTTCCTTGGCTTCCCCCCTGATGCGCCTGGCTGGCAATTTTACCACCCCACCTCGCGCCGTGTCTTCCCCTCTCAGGGCGTCACGTTTGACGAGTCGGATCCCTTCTACCGTCTCTTCCCCTACCGCTCTGCCCCTCCCCCGCCCCCGCCGATCTTCCTTGCTTCAGGTCCCCCTTCGGTAGACCCCCTCCCCCCCCAGGGTCCTGCTCCCTCAGGTGTGTCTCAGGTAGACCCTCTCCTAGGTACTGTGCCTGTTGAGGAAGTTGTGGACTCAGGTGCTGCTCGGGGTGCTGCATCTGAGGGTGCCGGGTCTGGGGGTGCTGAGCCTGGGGGTGCTGAGCCTGAGGGTGTGGAGCCTGGGGGTGCTGAGTCTGGGGGTGCTGAGCCTCGGGGTCAAGATTCTTCTGGAGGTGCTGCAGCTGCTGGTCCTGGAGGTGCTCGTACTAGGGGTACTGGAGCTGCCGGGACTGGTAGTGTTGGCGGCGCTGGAGCTGGAGACCCTACGGAGCCTGGAGTAGCTGGGGCTGGAGACGCTGGAGCTGGAGCTGGAGGCGCTAGTGGCGCTAGAGCTGGAGGAGCTGGAGCTGTTGACCCTGGAGCTGGAGGTGCTGGAGCTCGGGGTGCTGTGTTTGGTGGTACTGGTGCTGGCGGCACTGTGCGGCCGCGACCGTACTTCAGCAGGTTTTAGGTGTCCCGTCTTCTACTGGCCGTACTCCTCCCTTAATGTGTCCACCGCCTGACCAGTCGCAGCCGCCGTTACAGCCTGCCTCCCCACTGCCTGCTCCTTCTTCTTACACTGAGCAGACTGGCGGTTGTACATAGCGTCGTGAGCCTGCGTCTCGTCCAGCATTGCCTGTTCACACTGGTCATCGCATTCCTCGTCCGCGTCCTCCTCCTCTCCCCGGCACACACGCTATGGCACTTCGTCCTTCCTCTGTTCCACTGCGTGTTCCTCTGCCGCCTCCTGCTGAGTCCTCTCTTCCTGCCGTCCCTGACCCTGAGTCTGACCGCGCTCGTGCTGCTAGTCCCACTGTCTCTCGTCTCCTCGCCACTGCTGTCAGTGACCCTTCTTTTGAGTCCACTGCTGCGTCTACCCTCGTTGCTGAGCTGGTTGAATTTGCTGCTGCCTGTTGTCTAGACTACGCAATTGCTCTTGTTGCTGAGTCTGCTGAGTCTGAGTCTAACAGTCCTCCGTCCGTCTGGGGTGAGTGTGCTCTTGGCACGGACGTCCTTGAGGACACGCAGGAGGACCTTGAGTGTTTTGCAGCTGCTATACCTCGTTTCGCTTCCATGCTGCTTGCCCCTGAGGGAGACCCAGATGCACCAGACATCCCGACCCCGCGCTCTTACACAGAGGCGATTACAGGTCCTTACTCCTCTCAGTGGCACGCAGCCATGGATGCCGAGATGGCATCTTGGAAGTCCACAGGCACCTACATCGACGAGGTTCCCCCACCTGGGGTGAACATAGTCGATGGCATGTGGATTTTCTGGTGAAGCGGCCGCCGGGTTCTCCGCCTGCCTTCAAGGCGCGTTACGTTGCTAGAGGCTTTAAGCAGCGACAGGGGGTCGACTACTTCCAGACCTTCTCCCCCACCCCGAAGATGACTACTCTTCGGGTGTTGCTGCACGTCGCTGCTCAGCGTGAATACGAGTTACACTCTCTGGACTTCAGTACAGCTTTCTTGCAGGGCAGCCTGTACGAGGAGATCTGGCTGCGCCGCCCACCTGGCTTCACTGAGTCGTTTCCTGCAGGTACCCAGTGGAGCCTCCGGCGGCCAGTCTACGGTCTCCGCCAGGCGCCTTGCGAGTGGCACGACACACTGAGGACTACACTTGCGGCTCTGGGGTTTACTCCTTCTACTGCTAACCCGTCGCTGTTTCTAGGCACCGACACGTCGCTGCCGCCGTTCTACATCCTCGGGTACATCGACGACCTCGTCTTTGCCATTGCTGACACTGAGGCACTGACCCTTGTGAAGTCGGAGTTGCAGAAGAGACACACCTGCACTGACCTGGGTGAACTGTGCAGCTATCTTGGCTTGCAGATCACCCAGGACAGAGCTCGGCGCACCATCACAGTGACTCAGTCACACATGGTGCACCAGGTCCTTCAGTGCTTCGGCTTCCAGTTCTCCTCGCCACAGCCCACTCCTCTGTCTACCAGCCACTCGCTCTCAGCTCCACCTTCGGACGAGTCCGTAGAGCCGAGTGGTCCATACCCAGAGCTTGTGGGTTGCCTCATGTACCTGATGACGTGCACACGACCTGGCCTCGCGTACCCTGTCAGCCTCCTGGCTCGCTACGTGGCTCCTGGTAGGCATCGAAAGGTGCACTGGGATGCTGCGAAGAGGGTACTGCATTACTTGTGCAGTACGTCGGGCATGGGGCTCGTGCTTGGAGGACGGGGTCCAGTTGTCCTCACTGGTCACGTAGACGCTTCTTGGATTGACGACTCAGCTATGTAGCGATCGTCACAGGGTTACACGATCAGCCTCGGTTCCGGCTCTGTTTCCTGGCGGTCTACCCGCTCGTCTTCGGTTCTCAGCTCTAGTTGTGAGGCTGAGATCTACGCAGGGCCCATGGCTACACAGGAGCTACGCTAGCTCACCTACCTGCTGACTGACTTGGGAGAGCAGCCTCGTTCACCTCCAGTTCTGTACGTAGACAACAAGGCCATGATTGCCTTGTGTCAGGAGCACAGACAGGAGCACAGAACGAAGCACATCGCTCTGCGATACTTCCTAGCTCGAGAGTTGCAGCAGCGTGGCCAGCTTCGTCTTGCGTACGTGGCCACTAGGGCCAACACTGCTGATATATTCACCAAGGCACTTCCGCCTGGTGATCATCAGTGCTTCTCTACTGTGCTAGGCCTTGTGCCTACTTTGCCTCACTTGCTCAAGCTTGACTTTGCTTGTACTGTGATCTATATATATATACCTGCATACTTGCACTTGCTAGGGTATGATCACTGTATTGTTTGCCTAAACCCTAAACCCTAAACTCGACTTATGAATTGGCCTTGTGGCCCTTTGTTTGTGCTCGGACTGTGTGGTGACTTTGTGATCCACCCTGAGCCTGCTTTGCTCTTCTTGACTGGTCTTGTGACCACTTGTTCTCCCCCATTTCGCCTATGGAGGTGTGTCAGAATGTTATAGTGCTTACAATTGTGTAGGCTATAGTGGGGTAGCCCATAAGGGGTACAACCCAATAAGGGTTAGTACTTGTACCCAACTTCTATTCAATGCATTCATTCTGGTTCCTTAGTTTTGATCAAATGCGGAGTTGGTGTTGAAAAGATTGTGCCACCTCCACCCCCGCGTGCTCTGGGGGCGATGAGTTGGAACCAGCGAATCGAAAATTGGATTAGTGAACAGATACTGCAGATGAGGCGACGAAAACATAAGCAGGAAACCTTGAACAACAAGGACGTCATTAGTGTGAGAATAACGAGGAATGAATGATGGAACTAGAAAGCAGATGGGTACAAGTATGAAGCACAGAAGTGTTGTACCCTCTAAGGACTACCCCACTATAGCCTAAACAGACTATAGTAGATATAAGTTTGACACACCCCCATAGGCAAAGTGGGGGAGAACAAGGGGTCACAAGACCAGTCAAGAAAGACAAAGCAAGCTCAGGGTGGATCACAAAGTCACCACGCAGTCTGAGCACAAGCAAATGGCCACAAGGCCAGTTCACATGCAGAGTTATATAAAGGAGAACAACAATACAGCGAATACAACCTAGCAAGAGTAAGCATGCAAGTATATGTATACAGAGTACAGTACAGGCAGAGTCAAGAAGAAAGTAAGTGAGGCACAGTAGGTACAAGGCCTAACACAGTACAGAAACGCTGATGATCACAAGGATGAAGTGCCTTGGTGAAAACATCAGCAGTGTTGGCCTGAGAGGCCACGTAAGCAAGACGAAGCTGGCCACGCTGCTGCAACTCTCGAGAAAGGAAGTAGCGCAGAGCAATGTGCTTCGTTCTGTGCTCCAGTCTGTGCTCCTGACACAAGGCGAGCATGGCCTTGTTGTCGACGTACAGAACTGGAGGAGAACGAGGCACCTCTCCCTAGTCGGTCAGCAGGTAGGTGAGCCAGCGTAGCTCCTGTGCAGCCATGGCCCTAGCGTAGATCTCAGCCTCACAACTGGAGCTGAGAACAGAAGAAGAGCGGGTAGACCGCCAAGAGACAGAACCGGAGCCAAGACTGAAGGTGTAACCCTGTGACGACCGCTGTGTAGCCAAGTCGTCAACCCAGGAGGCGTCAGCGTGACCAGTGAGGACAACTCGAGCCCGTCCTACAAGCACGAGCCCCATGCCCGATGTAAGAGCAAAACCAAGAGAAGCAAGAGTCGTCCTGAGCGTGTCGTGCCACTCACGGGGTGCCTGGCGGAGACCGTAGACTGGCCGCCGGAGGCTCCACTGGGTACCAGTAGGAAACGACCCAGTGAAGCCAGGTGGGCGGCGCAGCCAGATCTCCTCGTGCAGGCTGCCCTGTAGGAAGGCTGTGCTGAAGTCAAGCGAGTGGAGCTCGTAGTCACGCTGAGCAGCAACGTGCAGCAGTACCCGAAGAGTGGTCATCTTCGGGGTAGGGGAGAAGGTCTGAAAGAAGTCAACTCCCTGTCGCTGACTGAAGCCACGTGCAACGTAACGCGCCTTGAAGGCAGGCGGAGAACCCGGCGGCCGCTTCACCCTGAAGATCCACATGCCACTGACGATGTTCGCCCCAGGTAGGGGAACCTCGTCTACGTAGGTGTCTGTGGACTTCCAGGAAGCCATCTCTGCGTCCATGGCTGCCTGCCACTGAGAGGAGTAGGGACCCTCTATCGCCTCTGCGTAAGAGCGCGGGGTCGGGATGTGTAGTGCATCCGGGTCTCCCTCAGGGGCCAGCAGCATGGACACGAGATGAGGTACAGAAGCAGCAAAGCACTCAAACTCCTCCTATCTGTCCTCAAGAACGTCTGTGCCAAGAGCACACTCACCCCCGACGGACGGAGGACAGACAGACACAGACGCCGACGCAGCAACAAGAGCAGTGGCATAGTCTAGGCGACAGGCGGCAGCAAAGTCAACAAGCTCAGCAACAAGAGCAGACGCAGCAGAGGACTCAAGCAGAGGGTCAGTGACAGCAGTGGCCAGAAAGCGCATGACAGCAGGACTAGTAGCACGAAGGGAGTCAGACTCCGGGTCCGGAACGTCAGGAAGAGAGGACGCAGGAGGAGACGGAAGAGGAACAGTAGAAGGACGCAGAGTCATAGAGTAAGTGCCTGGGACAGGAGGGAGACGCGGACGCGAAACACGACCAGCGCGAACAGTACGGACAGGCGACGCAGAACGAGACACAGGCGACACAGGACGAGAATCAGGCTCACGACGCTCCGTAAGACCTCTAGTCGGTCTAGAGTAAGGACCGGGCAGTGGAGAGGCTGGCTCCAACTGCGACTGGGACTGGACAGGCGGCGGACTCAGGAAAGGAGGAGGAGGACCAGGAGAAGGTGGGGAGCCAAGAACCTGTTGAAGGAGCGGAACGTAGTACGGCCCCGGCCGCGCAGCGCCTCCAGAAACAGCAGAGACAGAACCGGTACCCTCAGCCCCAGGGTCTCCAGTCCCAGCAGCACCTCCAGCACCTCCAGTAGCTCCAGCACCTCCAGCAGCTCCAGCACCAGCAGTACCTCCAGCAGCTCCAGTAGCGCCAGCACCAGCAGCACCTCCAGTAGCTCCAGTAGCGCCAGCACCTCCAGTAGCTCTAGCAGCACCTCCAGCACCAGCAGAACCTCCAGCAGCTCCAGCAGCATCAGTACGTCCAGTAGCTCCAGTAGTACCAGCACCTCCAGCACCAGCAGCACCTCCAGTAGCTCCAGCAGCACCTCTAGCACCAGCAGCACCTCCAGTAGCTCCAGCAGCACCTCCAGCACCAGCAGCAACTCGACAGCGCCGAGAGTACCACTCACGAAGCCGCTGTGGAGAGAGGGCCTCCCGCCGTGACACAGTACCCTCAGGCTCCACACCCCCAGGCTCAGCACGCCCAGACTCAGCACCCCTAGACTCAGCACCCCCAGTCTCAGCACCCACAGGCTCAGCACCCCCAGACTCAGCACCCGCAGGCTCAGCACCCCTAGCAGCACCTGAGTTGACAGCTACCTCGACCGGCTCGGCAGGGTCTACCTGGGACACACCTGAGGGGGCAGGACCCTGGGGGGGGAGGGGGTCTACCGGGGGAGTACCTGGTGCGAGGAAGAGTGGCGGGGGGGGGGAGAGAGGCAGTGCGGTAGGGAAAGAGACGGTAGTACAACACCGACTCGTCAAACGTGACGTCCTGAGAGGACAGAACACGACGCGAGGTGGGGTGGTAGAACTGCCACCCGGGTGCGTCAGGATAGAAGCTTAGGAAGACGCAGGGAACGGCATGGGAGGACAGCTTGTCCGCTGTAGTATCGCGGACAAATGCTCGAGATCCCCAGACACGGAACGCTGACGCATCGCCAACCTTCCCCGTCCACCGCAGAGTAGGTGTGGTCTCCGGCAAGGAGACACGAGGCTGAAGGTTGATCTGATGCGCAACGTACTGAATCGCGAACGGCCACAGAAAATGGGGAGCAGCCGCATGGATCATGGACGTACGAGCGACGTCCATGACCATGCCAATGCGGCGCTCAGCAATCCCATTTTGCTGCGGGGAGGCCGGAAGCGTGAACGTCTGGCCGATGCCCTCCACACGACAGAAGGCCCTCAGGAGGTCGGAGGAAAACTCCCCACCTCTGTCCGAGTGCAGACGCAGAACAGGAAGGTCGGAATCGAAACTCTCACTGAGCTGGCGACGAGCACCGCGGATCCAGTCGATCAACACCTCAGGGACCTCACCCTTGCTGCGCAAGGGGAAGACTGTGGTGTAACGCGAGTAGTCGTCAACGACCAGCAGGAAGTAACGCTCGTGACCCTGTCCACGGACGTGGGCTGGGCCCCACACGTCCATGTGAAGAGTCTGCAGAGGAGCCTCAGTCAGAGGGAACGAGGAGGAGTGAGGGGCGGCGCGCTGCCTGCCCTCGACACAAGGAACACAGGTGGGGGCAGGCCCCGGAGGAAGGGAAGGGAGGGACTTGGGTAGACCCGAGACAAGGGCACGGGAGGCCATACCTCGAAGACGAGGCAGGGAGGGGTGACCAAGGCGGTGGTGCCAAAGGAGAGTCTCGTGCGACAGAGGACGACACGAGCAGGGGGCAGACGCAGGACTAGACCTGGACGCGGCAGCAAACACCTGACTAGACGCAGCTACCTGACCAGACGCAGAGACCAGAGGAGGCGCAGTAGTCAGTGTGTACAGACTCGACCCTGGCTGACGGGTGAACGTGGCCAGGTGGCGGCCCGTCCGAGAGCAAGTGCAGTGGGTCACACGCTGACCTCCAGGGGTGAACTGGTCAACCCACGCGTCCTGGAGGTCAGCTCCACTCACCAAGTTCGTAGAGAACGAGGGGAGGTGGAGTCCCGACAGCAAGCCCGACGGGGCCGCAGGACACGGTAGAACCGTGGAGGAGTGTGCAAGGACTGGGCCCCCGGAGGGGTCAGCAAGGGAGACCGCAACAGGCCGACGGAGCGGCGTGAGCGTGGTGCTGTCTTTAAAGAAAGAGCGCGAAGCACCAGATTCAAGTGTAAAATTGTGCAAGGACTCAGTAGGTGCAGTACCAGAGAGGGCAAACGCACCAGCACCTGGAGCAGCAGACGCACCAGCACCTGGAGCAGCAGACGCACTAGCACCTAGAGCAGCAGCCGCAGTGCCCGGGTCGGGCGGGACACTCAGGTAACAGTCACCCTCAGCACTATCAGCAAAAGCATACATGGCAGCAAGGATAGCATCAAAGTCTAGATCGATAGGCACATTCTGCAGAAGCAGATCATGCCAGCGAGGGAGCTCAACGGCGTCAGGAAACTGGGCACGCCAAGCGTCAGTCAAGCGACCGAAGCAGCGCTGCGTAGTGTGTGGGAGCCCACACACCTCCCCACTACGAGTGCCGGAGCGAAGAACGTAAGTGCAGGGACCAGCACCCCCAGACCTCCTGCGCCTAGCGTACCACTCACGAAGCTGCTGGGCCGACGGGGTCTCACGGGAGCGCGGCTGCTACTGACGCTGGCTACCACCAGCGCCTCCACGCTGCGCGGCTGCACCTCGACCAGCACCACCGCCGCCGCCACCTCCACCACCGCTGCCGCTGCCTCCACCACCTCCGCCGCTGCCTCCACCACCTCCACTGCCGCCACTGAAGCCCCCACTCCCGGTGCCACCCCCACCTCCACCGCCACCCCCTCCGCCTCCTCCACCACCCCCCCCGCCGCCCCTCCACCACCTCTGCTCCCCTTGCCCTTGCTGTTGCGGCGCCTCCCACTCGGAGCAGATGCAGCCCCGACCTCCTCAGTGCCAATGAGGTCGACAGCAGCAGCAGAAGCAACAGAGGGGAGAAGGGGGACAGGGGAACACCCCTCAAAGAAAGGGGTGCGACGGTCGCCGCGAGAAGCACCTACAGCTAAGATACTCTTCTCAGCTGCAGTAAGGCGCTCCTCTAGTAGGTCGACAGTCAGCTCGGTGGGGCAAAGGGAGAGGAAGTGATCCCTAACTGAGGAAAGTGAGTCAGGGAGGCGGGTGACTAGGTAGTAAAGGGTGATGTACATGGGGGGGGGGTTCTTGGCACAGAACTCAGTGGGAAGGGCAGCACGGTAGCGGGCGTCACTGGTGCGAAGGTGAGCAACTAGGTCAGCGACTGTGGCAAAGGCGGCAAGGTCAGGGAAAAGGTACGGCAGCATGAGGCGGCTGAGGGCAGCAGTGGAAGGGGAGGAGTAGCGTGCAACTACAGCGTCGTACAAAGACTGAGCAGTCTTGTACTGGCCAAAGTGTGTGCGCTCAGCAGGCGGCAGGTGACTACGAACAGCAAGACGAGCAACAGCGTCACGAGTGGTCCACTGAGAGCGAACAGTACTGTCAGCAGTGGCAGCAGGAGCAGTGGAAACACCGGACGTGTGATCGAAAAGAGATACCCCATCCCTAGAATCACACTGAAGAAAGAGCTGTAGATCGTCAACCCACACGTCAAAGCCAACTGCACGTCCCTCAGCATCAAAGGTGAGAACGGTAGGACTAGCCATAGTAGCAGTAGGAGCAGCAGCAGTGCAAAGCAGTGGTAGCAGCAGTAGCAGTAGTAGCAGTGCAAGGCAGTGCCGCTCGATAGGGCAGTGCGGCTCGGTGAGTGGCGCGGCTGAGCGGCGCGGCTCGGCTAGGCGGCGCGGCTCGGCTACTGGCGGCGCGGCTCGGCTCCTGGCGGCGCGGCTCGCCTCCCGGCGGCGCACCGCAGCAGGGAGGGGGAAGGGGGGGAGCGCGAGTGCTTACCAGGGGCGGTTGCAGGGAGGGCCGCTGTTGTGGCGGCAACAGGGCAGGGCCAGGCCGACGGGCGGCGGGTCAGCGACGGGCGGCAGGTCGGCGACTGGCGGCTGGTCAGGGACGGGCGGCAGGTCGGCGACGGGCGGCTGGTCAGGGACGGGCGGCTGGTCAGGGACGGGCGGCGGGTCGGCGACGGGCGGCTAGTCAGGGACGGGCGGCAGGTCGGCGACGGGCGGCTGGTCAGCGATTGGCGGCGGTCCAGCGGTGGGCGAGGGCCGGCCGGCGAAGGACGACGGGCCGGCGACGGGCGGCATCGTTCCAGCTGCGGGCGGCAACGGGCCGGTGACGGGCCAGTTACAGGCGGCAACAGGCAGCAACAGGCCAGCAAAGGGCGTCAACGGGCCGGCGACGGGCGGCAGTGGGCCAGCGACGGGCCAGGAACGGGCGGCAACGGGCCGTCGAGAGGGAGGGGCCACGAGGGGCCTCTAAGGGACGCGAAGGGGCTGCTACGGGCCGCGAAGGGGCCGCTACGGGATGCGAAGGGGCCGCTACGGGCCGCGAAGGGCCTCGAAGGGCAGGCGCACGGGGCCTTGATAGGACAGACGCGACGCGCGCTTCGGGCAGGTAAGGAAAAAAAAAATCTTAGTGGTGGGCCCTAAAAACAGTTCCACTAGGGAACCTGCTCTATACCATGTGAGAATAACGAGGAATGAATGATGGAACTAGAAAGCAGATGGGTACAAGTATGAAACACAGAAGTGTTGTACCCTCTAAGGACTACCCCACTACAGCCTAAACAGACTATAGTAGATATAAGTTTGACAATTAGATCAGAACTCAGACACATCGAGGGCAATGTTTTAGGGCTATGTGAATTCACGTCTGATTTGGTGTTCATTTTGACTAAAAACAAACTGACATGCTAGGATGGGAGAATTTGGCGTTTCTGGGCTGGAACCCCACCATAATGGGCGGCGAATCCCGTCCACCACCCTTATGTACATACGTGTGTACATTATCTGGATTCTGGAATTGAACAATGCAAGAATTTGGGAATTTCGTTACTGTTACAGCGCACTACTGCTCCAGCTCAGGGCGGGTGCTTCATGTGAAATTAGGTTAGTTTCGCAAGGGTCGTTTTTTGGGTTGCACATCTGCTGTGTACCACGAAATGTCGCTAACCACTGGGGTCGACTAGCACAGTCGCGTGTTGGTTCACTCAACGATGTTTGCCTTGAAGTTCCCGAAGTCACAATTTTGGCTCAATTTTAGCGCACAAAAGACCCCGTCGATGTGTTCTGAAAATACAATGACATCACGATTGCCGTGAGGGAATGACGAACCGCGGTGCTTTCTCATCTTCAATTCCAACAGGCAGTGGTTTTTACAGCCCTCCTGCTACGCGATCGCGCCCGATTCGCGCGGTCAGTTTTCGCCTCCAACACCGAATTCTGTACACTTTCTTGGTTTTCGTGGGCAGGCCCAAACATCTCGTGAATGTTGCACACACTCATTACGACTTTGTCTTTATTGGTGCATTGTAAAACATAGCTGTTCATGTTTCCACGAGTCTACTGTTCATGTTTCCTGGGTGGTGTAATTATTATTCAGGGAAGTCAGCTGTATTTTGTCAAACATACCTGCCATAGTCCATCTAGGCTGTAGTGGGGTGGTCAATACAGGGTACAACACTTTTAGGTTTTTCATACTTGTACCCACCTGTTGCCTAGTTCATTCATTCCTTCTGGTCATTCTAACATGGTATTTTGAGCAAGTTCCCCCGTGGGAACGTTTTTTTTTTTTAGGGCCCACCGAAATAGTAACATTTTTTTTCCTGCCCTGCCCGCAGCGCGCTTCGCGCCTGCCCCTGCCTTGCTGTCGCGGCCCCTACTGCCGACGCGTCCCCTACTGCCGTCACGGCCCCTCCTGCCGTCGCGGCCCCTGCTGCAGTCGCGGTCCCCCCTCCTTACTGCCGTCGCGGCTCCTACGGCCGACGCGGCCCCTAGTGCCGACGCGGCCCATTACTGCCGTCGCGGCCCCTAAGGCCGACGCGGCCCCTATTGCCTACGCGGCCCCTGCGGCCGTCGCGGCCCATTCCTGCCGTCGCGGCCCCTACTGCTGACGCGGCCCCTCACTGCCGTCGCGGCCCCTGCTGCCGACGCGGCCCCTGCCGCTGTCGCGGCCCCTGCTGCTGTTACGGCCCCTACTGCCAATCGCGGCCCCTGCTGCCATCATGGCCCCTGCTGCTGTCGCGGCCACGTCTGCCGCTGCGGCCCCTGCAGCCGTCACGGCCCCTGCTGCTGTCGCGGCCTCTGCTGTCGCGGCCCCTGCTGTCGCGGCCCCTGCCGTCACAGCCCCTGCTGTCGCGGCCTCTGCAGTTGCGGCCCCCCTGCTGTCGCGGCCCCTCTACTAACGGCCCCTCTGCTGCAGCGGCCCCTCTGCTGTCGCGGCCCCTCTGCTGACGCGGCCCCTACTGTCGCGCCCCTGGTAAGCGCCGCGCCCAACCACCTGCTGCGCCGCGCCGCCCAGCCGAGCCGCGCCACCCACCGAGCCGCGCCGCTCTGTCGAGCCGCGCCGCCCAGCCCAGCCGCGCCGCGCCTACCAAGCCGCGCTGCCCTGCCGAGCCGAGCCGCGCTGCCCTTTTGCCTGCTCTGCTTCTGCTGCCACTGCTGCTACTGCTGCTTCTACTGCTGCTACTGCTACTATGGCTAGCCCTACTGTTCTCACGTTTCATGCTGAGGGGCGTGCAGTTGACTTTGACGTGTGGGTTGACGACCTACAGCTCTTTCTTCAGTGTGACTCTAGGGATGGAGTATCCCTTTTTTATCACACGTCCGGTGTCTCTACTGCTCCTGCTGCCACTGCTGACAGACGATTCGCTCGCAGTGGACCACTCGTGACGATGTTGCTCGTCTTGCTGTTCGTAGTCACCTGCCGCCTGCTGAGCGCACACACTTTGGCCAGTACAAGACTGCTCAGTCTTTGTACGACGCTGTAGTTGCTCGCTACTCCTCTCCTACCACTGCTGCCCTCAGCCGCCTCATGCTGCCGTACCTTTTCCCTGACCTTGCCGCCTTTGCCACAGTCGCTGACCTCGTTGCTCACCTCCACACTAGTGACGCCCGCTACCGCGCTGCGCTTCCCACTGAGTTCTGTGCCAAGAACCCCCCCCCCATGTACATCACCCTTTACTACCTAGTCACTCGCCTCCTTGACTCCCTTTCTTCAGTTAGGGACCACTTTCTCTCCCTTTGCCCCACTGAACTGACTGTCGACCTGCTAGAGGAGCGCCTTCCTGCAGCTGAGAAGAGTATCTTAGCTGCAGGTGCTTCTCGCGGCGACCGTCGCACCCCTTTCTTTGAGGGGTGTTCCCCTGTCCCCCTTCTCCCCTCTGTTGCTGCTGCTATCGACCTCGTTGGCACTGAGGAGGTCGGAGCTGCGTCTGCCCCTGGTGGGAGGCGCCACAACAGCAAGGGCAAGGGGAGCAAGGGTGGTGGAGGGGGTGGCGGGGGCGGCGGTGGAGGCGGTGGAGGAGGCGAAGGGGGTGGCGGTGGAGGTGGGGGTGGTACCGGGAGTGGGGGCTTCAGTGGCGGCGGTGGAGGTGGTGGAGGCAGCGGCAGCGGTGGTGGAGGTGGCGGCGGCGGTGGTGCTGGTCGAGGTGCAGCCGCGCAACGTGGAGGCTTTGGTGGTAGCCAGCGCCAGCAGCAGCCCCGCTCCCGTGAGACCCCGTCGGCCCAGCAGCTTCGTGAGTGGTACGCTGGGCGTGGGAGGTCTGGGGGTCCTGGTCCCTGCACTTACGTTCTTCGCACCGGCACTCGTCGTGGGGAGGCGTGTGGACTGCCACACACTACGCAGCACTGCTTTGGTCGCTTGACTGACGCCTGGCGTGCCCAGTTTCCTGACGCTGTTGAGCTCCCTCGCTGGCATGATCTGCTTATGCAGAATGTGCCTATCTTTGATCTTGATTTCGATGCTATCCTTGCTGCCATGTATGCTTTGACTGATAGTGCTGAGGGTGACTGTTACCTGAGTGTCCCGCCCAACTCGGGCATTGCGGCTACTGCTCTAGGTGCTAGTGCATCTGCTGCTCCAGGTACTGGTGCGTCTGCTGCTCCAGGTGCTGGTGAGTCTGCTCTCTCTGGTACTGCACCTACTGAGGTCTTGCACACTTTCACACTTGACTCTGGTGCTTCGCGCTCTTTCTTTAGAGACAGCACCACACTCACGCCACTAAGTCGGCCTGTCGCAGTCTCCCTTGCTGACCCCTCTGGGGGCCCAGTCCTTGCGCACTCTTCCACGGTTCTACCGTGTCCTGCGGCCCCGTCGGGCTTGCTGTCGGGACTCCACCTCCCCTCGTTCTCTACGAACTTGGTGAGTGGAGCTGACCTCCAGGATGCGTGGGTTGACCAGTTCGCCCCTGGAGGTCAGCGTGTGACCCACTGCACTTGCTCTCGGACGGGCCGCCACCTGGCCACGTCCACCCGTCGGCCAGGGTCGACTCTGTACACACTGACTACTGCGCCTCCTCCGGTCTCTGCGTCTACTCAGGTAGCTGTGTCTAGTCAGGTGTTTGCTGCCGCGTCCAGGTCTAGTCCTGCGTCTGCCCCCTGCTCGTGTCGTCCTCTGTCGCACGAGACTCTCCTTTGGCACCACCGCCTTGGTCACCCCTCCCTGCCTCGTCTTCGAGGTATGGCCTCCCGTACCCTTGTCTCGGGTCTACCCCGGTCCCTCCCTCCCCTTCCTCTGGGGCCTGCCCCTACCTGTGTTC